TCACCGGACCCGAAACGTTAACTCTGTTTTCTCCTCCACAGATGCTGCCAGACCTGCTGAGCTTTTCCAGCAACTTTGTTTTTGTTCCTGATTTACAGCATCTGCAGTTCTTTTGGTTTTTATCCCATTCTCCTAGTTACTGCATTGAAACTAGAGCAGTATGGAACCCAGTAAACATTTTATGTCATTCTAATGGAATGTTATGATCTAGGTGATTCACATAACCTTATGCTAGAGATCTTTTTAAATTTGTTGAAAGGCTGGCTACTGCTGTAACACTCAAGTTATGCCAAAAATACTAAATATGAAATACTAAAAGAATTGTTTTAAAGGTGACCCCAATTTTCAACACATCATTATTAAATTATATTAAAATTATAAATTTTATTGTTAAATTACATTCTGTATAACTATGACTACATAAATGTTTTGTATCATTTATAATTAACCCTATATAAACCAATAATTTATTGTGGCATAAGAGCCTAGTAGTGTAAGAGTTAACAGGATCCTATTTTTAGCTGCTTAGTCATTTACATTTTGCAGAGTTTCTGATGGATCAGAAGAATTCAGTGAAAGTTCTACAGAGAGTGAGGAAGAGAAACAAGATATGAACAGACAACAGGAATCCAATGCTGACTTACCTTCTGAGTACTGGCAGATCCAGAAAGTGGTAAAATACCTGAAGGTAAGGACATAAAAATAACTTTATCAGGTAGCAATATTTGCTTGTATGCCATGTCAGAAAAGGATGAAAAATCCCACACAGAGTTTAGTGCTATTTTTCCAGTGGATAGCTGAACCATAAAACCCAATTTTGACAGAACAGTTTTTGGAGTTGGAGAGGATTAGTTGTGGTGGATATTGGTGTTGTCAGTTTTCAAGGAGAAATCTGTGAGTCTGTTTTTAGCTCTCGGGCAATACAGTGTGGAACTGGAGGAACACAGCAGGTCAGGCAGCATCAGAGGAGCAGGAAAGTCAATGTTTCAGGTGTACACCCTTTGTCAGGACCCAAAACATCGACTTTCCTGTTCCTCTGATGCAGCCTGTTCTGCTGTGTTCCTCCAGCTCCACACTGTATTGGCTCTGACTTCAGCATCTGCAGTTCTTACCATCTCCTAATGTTCTGGGGACTAGGGCTCAAATTCCGCAACGGGATGGTAGAATTTGAATTCAATAAAGAAAAACCTTGATTTAAGGGTCTAATAATGATGAAAAGCCATTGTTGATTGTCGGAAAAACCCATCTGGTCTACTAATGCACTTAAGGGAAGGAAACTGCCATCCTTACCTGGTCTGGCCTACATGTGACTCCAGGCCCACAGCAATGTGGTTGACTCTTAACTGCCCTCTGGGCAATTAGGAATGTGCAATAAATGCTGGCCTAGACAGAGAGGCCCACATCCCACGAGTGTATAAAAACAAGTGCACCATTAACATATGTACAATCATAAGAAATATATCTGTTTACTGGTATTTGTATTACAAGAGATATTCCTGAAAGTTTTGAATGAGGGAGTTAGTAATGGAAGGAAGTACAATTTTTAAATATGAGGTATCTGTTTCATTGTTAGGTGAGCAGAAACTCGACAATGGCTTTGTGTTATAGAACTACGTACAAATTTATGTAACTGCTCACGCTCTTCTACATATGCAGAACACCTGCACCCATAACCTTTTTAATATAAAACATTTGGTTGGAACTCTAGATTTTGTGGTGTTTGAATGGGGTCAAAATCTGGTTAACCACAGGACACTTGTTTTACGAGGAGAATGCCAATTGCTTAATTAGGCAATAACACTTGTAATTGGCAACAAAATTAATAGTTTTCAATTAAGTTAAAAGATTAAAGATATGTCCTGTACAGTTAGACCTGTTTAGTCAAGAGGTAATCAAATAATGAGCATGTTGTATTTATGAAAAACAATCATTGAAACTGTATCTGCAACATTTTTAAAACCTTGAATTTGCAACCATGATGTGGTCCACAGATGTTTAAGTCTTCTGGAAAGATCACAAGACTCAGTCTCTGGTTAGTTTTAGCATTCAATAGGGAATAATTATGATTCTTATCGAATTGAAAGCAATGGCCATGACTTTGTTTTGAAAAGATGCAGTTTTCTCAGTTTAAGACAAAGGAATTGATTTTACCCCTGAGGGGTTTTTGGCAAGTATGGATTATTTTAATTGCTAGATTTATTTAAGTACGACCGATCCCCTTAACTCTGTATGGTCACAGAGAGAGTGCAGAACAGCTATCAGCAAGTGAACATTGGGTAGACCTGTGTGCATCCAGGTATATTAATGGTGAGGAGGTTTTGAAAACGTCTGTAGGAAATGTAAACGGAAGAAGCTGAGCATACAAAAATGCCAGGCAGACAAACCCCTCACGCCTAGACACTTCAGACACATTCTTAACGTCTCTTCTTCCACAAATATCCATTGTTTCAATAGTATGCCATTTTCTGGAATAAGCAAAATAGTAGACAAAAGACCAGGGCCCATAAAGAAGAACAAATCCCTGGAAAATTACTTTTCAACTTCTACTGTCAGCCCATTGAAATAAGGATGATGTCCATCAGATTTTATGATGTGTGTGTCCTCAAGTGACTCAGAAGACTAAGTCTGGAGCCACAGGTCTTTGGGGAGAGAGGACAAACCGTGCTGAAGAAAGAGTTTCCTGAGCTAATGTTCTTTTTTCTCCTCCAGCTTGTCTCCACACTAGAGTTAACTGACTACTTTTGGAGATCAAATCCAGCCCAAGAGTTCAAATTGACAGCCATACATTAACTGTTAATTTTAAAATTTTTATAGTTTGAGCTTTGGGCAGTGAGGCCATGACTTTCCTTGTGGAGCCCATAGGAGCACTTGTCCTTTTCTGATACCACTTAGGAAAGTTTTAGGCTTACTGGAAGATCCTTGTGAAATTAGCCACAGATCCATTTCTCTGCTAAGTCTTGAGTTAAAATTGGATGGGTCGTTTTTCTTAATAGGAAATATTTTGGATCTGAACACAAAAGTAAACTGAACTGTGAATGCTGAGATCTGATCAGACCATTTTGATGAAGAGTCACCTGACTCAAAACATTAACTCTGCTTTCACCCAACAGATGCTGCCAAACCCGCTGAGTTTCCCCGGCAATTTCTGTTTTTGTTACATATGTAACCTGCTTGTTCCTAATGGCCCAATTGCACATCTCCATCCTGTGGCCAAGATTAAAATCATCCCAACGTTTCAAACTTGCTTTATTTGTATTTTGTGTAACAGAAATCAGGCATTCAGAATTATTTTTATTCGTTTAGCACACGTTGGCTGGGCTAGTATTTTAGTGCCAATCCACCCTAGTTATCCTTGAGAAGGTAGCAATGAACTGCCTCCTTGAACTGCTGCAATCCATTTGGTGTAGGTAGATTCACAATGTTGTTGGTGAGGGAGTTCCAGGCTTTTGACCTAGCAATACTGAAGGAACAGCAATACAGTTCCATGTCAGGCAGTGGTAGTACTCTTGCCTTTGTCCTTTTAGATAATACTGATTATGAGTTTGGAAGGTGCTGTCTAAGGAGCTTTGGTGAGTTTCATCATATATAGTGATCATTAATAGTTTTGTCCTTCTGCCTTCAGAAAGTGTTTTTATGCTATGTGCATTTTCCCTTTTCTGTGCCCCTATTTGATGTTCAATATTCTTTCACCTGCCTGAATTATAGGGCTGAATGTTATATTTTGTTTGGTTAAGTCCATGTTACACCATGTTTTTTGGAGGGTTTTTTATGAGGCCCAGCAGGTTTCCTTGCCATATCTTACCAAACTTGCCTCATTAATTACCTACCACACCCCTATGCTTGCCCAACATTCGGCCCCTCACCCCTTCTGTGGAGAAGATCCTGACTCTGACTGCCCTAAGCAGCCTCTGGAGTGTTTGTTTGGTATCAGAGGCGTCCTTGGTTTATTGTACTAGGAATTCCTAAATGAAAATGGGTGGCACGGTGGCTCAGTGGTTAACACTGCTGCCTCACAGCGCCAGGGACCCAGTTTTGAATCCACCCTCAGGCGATTGTCTGTGTGGAGTTTGTACATTCTCCCCGTGTCTGCGTGGGTTTCCTCCAGGTGCTCCAGTTTCCTCCCACAGTCCAAAGATGTGCAGGCTAGGTGGATTGGCCATGCTAAATTGCCCATAGTATTCAGGGATGTGTAGATTAGGTGGGTTTGGGGAATGGGTCTGGGTGGGATGCTCTGAGGGTTGGTGTGGACTTGTTGGGCTGAAGGGCCTGTTTCCACACTGTAGGGGTTCTATGGTTCTATGAAAGCTATCTCCTTTGACTTGACTGGGGATTGCTGACGACCATGACAAACTTCATGGTTTTGAGACTGCACTAAATGGCAAGGTAAGAAAGGTGCACTATGGCTTTGGTATCTCTACCTGAAGGACAAAGGACAAAAAGGCAAGATAAGGCAATGCAAGGCAGGGTTTCTGTGAGTATCAAGGTAGGCTCACTGTAAGTGAACACTATGAAAGCAAGCAAAAAGCCTGGAGATGCAGCCAGGTCCAGTCCATGAGCTGGTTATGTGTCCCTAAGCACAAAGTGTCCTAGCTGCAGCATTAAAATGATAGTTATTGGCACAGCCCAAGATGTAACTCTGAAGTGCAGAAGTATTCTATAAATAGAACAGAGATGTGCCCTGAGGATTCTTGGAGTTTGGCATGTGTCAGATACCAATGTGGACATGGAATATATGTGGCTGCTGCCCATAGAGCATGCCCTGAAGTGTTTGAGCCCAGTGTTCAACCCAAATCCATCGCTATCAGAGCACAAAAACAGGTTATTTGGTCCATCTGCTCCACCATTCATTGAGACAATGGCTGACCTGATAATCTTCAATTCCATTTTCCATAAGACCATAAGACATAGGAGCAGAAATTAGGCCATTCAGCCCATCAAGTCTGCTCTGCCATTCAATCACTTTTGCCCTTTAACTACCTAAAGAAACTCTTACAGTCTTCCTTTGTATTACTGGCTAGCTTACCTTCATATTTAATCTTCTCCCTCCTTATTTCTGTTTTTGTTGCACTCAGTTGGTTTTTGTAAGCTTCCAAATCCTCTGGCTTCCCACTGCCCTTTGCCACATTTCATGCCTTCTCTTTTGCTTTTATACTGTCCCTGACTTCCCTTGTCAGCCATGGTTGTCTTGTCCTCCCTTTAGTCTCCTGAATTACTCCCAGAAACTCCTGCCATTGCTGTTCCACTGTCTTTCCTGCTAGGCTCCTCTCTCAGTCAATTCTGCCCAGCTCCTCCCTCATGTCTCTGTAGTTGCCTTTATTCAGCTATAATACTACTACCTCTGATTCTGTCTTCTCCCTCTCAAACTTCAAAGTAAATTCAATCATATTATGATCACTGCCTCCTCTTTCACCTTAAGGCCCCTTATCAAGTCTGCCTCATTGCTCAACACTAAATCCATTATTGCCTGTTCCCTAGTGGGCTCCACCACAAGCTGCTCCACAAATTCCTTTTCTTGCAATCCACTGCCATCCTGATTTTCCCCGTCCACCTTCATATTGAAATCCGTTATGATCCTGTAACTTTGCCTCTCTTACACATCTTTTCTATCTCCTGGTGTATCTTGCACACTAGCTCGTGACTACTGTTGAGAGGCTTGTACATAACTCTGACTATGGTTTCTTTACCTTT